CTTTTGGACAAACTATTTGGAGATGTTAAGGGAAGATTTGAAAGTGAACTAAACCAGCCTTACTTCCCTTCATCTAAAAATACTTGGTGTCCAAATATAGGGTAAGACTGTAAAAAAAAATGCTAAAAAGTTTGTCAAAGTCACAAAAATCTAATTTTCCATCCCAGAAGAATATTAAGGGATGCCTTCAAACAATTTGATGTAAATTTTCAAGTTTTATTTTATATTTAAATATAAAAACAAGACAAATAAATTACAAAGTCACTTACATACAAAATAATAAAAATAAAATTCCAAGATGCAAAAAAAAAATAAAAACGAGCAAATGCAAACAGTAACTTAAAAAAACATTCAAATAAAATGAAAAAGAATAACTTAAAGAGATTGTAAAGAGGTTTTCTAAAATTCTAATGTATTTGGGACATTGATATCATCAATTTACACCATTCCAATTCACAATCAGCATCACCTGCATCCTCTCGAATTTCATAAATCAGAAGTCCAAATTGATTTGTAAAAGATCATATCATTTACTTATATGATGACAAAGTTCATGATTAAAAAAGATAAAATACAGTTAATTTGTAAAAGATAGATGATCTAAAAATCAATGCAGTGTGCAATAAGGGAAATTTTGCCAGGCAGCGGGATCTCTAACGTACACAGCCTGTTGATCTCATCCTGAAAGAATTAAATCACAACATATAACACGTAGAGTGTGACAGGCTCATCACAGCACACCATTCAATATAATAAGTCATTCTTTATCAGGTAACAGGGTGGGGTTGTTAGCCGACTGTGGTTACTGGGTGGGGTTGTTAGCTGACTCTAGAAAGCACTGGCCCCAGGATCAGTTTCTTACCTTGTAGACTATTCGAACCCACAGATGACAAACCAAATCACAACAATTTCTGCCAGAGAATACTATGTACTTAATGAAGTCAAAATCCTCAACTTTTTCAAGTGCAATTTCTAGACATTATAATGGTCGTAGAATGTTTATCCTCTAGTCAACACGCATGACAGTACACGCTAAACTTGCCAAGGCAGTTATTCAACTTGCAAAACGTTAAAAATGAAACATTTCTCTGTGTATTGGCTTTAAAAGCCAAAAATTCATAAATTTCTGAAAAAATCAGCTCGATGTCGGCCATGTTTGTTTACATCCAGTAGTCTCGAACTTAAAGTCGTAATGGACTATAGACGTTTGAGTCTGGTTAATCAAATTTGTCACGTGTTTCCGGTCATAGACTTGATTGTCCAATAAAGTACAAATTTGTTCTTGTACTTTAGTCTCGAATATCAAACAAAACAAAATAAGTAATAAAAACAAAATGGCGGACTTTTGTCGGAAATTTGAACTGTACATCAGTTTTAAAAGGATAGGACTAAATCAAACCACTGTCATGGCAATTTGGGTATTTGATCGCATTCCTATAGGCTTCCGTGAGGTCTACACGCAGTTTTGAACGATTAGTGTGTCTTTTTTCAGCCTAAACTCTTGAGTTTGGAGGCGATGGAAGTGTCAAAACGTAAACAAACATGGCGGCTTTATTGTTTACATTCATTAAAATGTGAAAATATGTGAATTAAAGTCTATTCTTTATCAATTTTTGTTTTTATTTTCAAGAGAATATGTTAAAGTGTGTGTCCATTGCTTCAGTAAGTGATGTCAGTGCATCAGGAGGGCTATATAAGACCAAACATGAGGTTCTGTACCAGTCTACAGTCTAACTGATAATAGTTCCAGGGAATGTGTTGATGAATGTATCTAATTAACATAACTAGCTGTTAGGAGTAGCTGTAAGGGATGCAGACATGTCTTTCACTGATTATTTATACTCATTTACAACTGGGTTGACAGAAACTTGGCTGCACGAGGCCATGGTGAGGTAAATAAAACAGATAATAAACCGATTATCAGAGAGGCTCGGATGCTCTGCAAATTTTTTGCTCTGCCAAGTATTATGGGACAAGAGCTGACACCAGGCCTCCCCCCTGAAGCACTGGTATCAGAATTCTTCTTACTTTGAGGAAGATTCGAACCTACTGTACTAATCGCCTAGCAGATGATAATCCAACTAGCTACAGACTGAGCTATTCCACTGTCCTAGCAGATTACAATCCAACTAGCTACCGACTGAGCTATTCCACTGTCCTAGCAGATGACAATCCAACTAGCTACCGACTGAACTATTCCACTGTCCTAGCAGATGACAATCCAACTAGCTACAGACTGAGCTATTCCACTGTCCCAGCAGATGACAATCCAACTAGCTACCGACTGAGCTATTCCACTGTCCTAGCAGATGACAATCCAATTAGCTACCGACTGAGCTATTCCACTGCCACAGTATTAGGGGTAAGAGTTGGATTGTCGTCTACTAGACCAGTTAAATAGCTCAGTCAGTAGCCATTTGGATTGTCACAGCTAGGACTATAGTTACTTGCTAACATGTAGATTGCAGAAAAGTTCTCTACACACAACGGTCAATATTAGAATCAAACTACAAGTTCATAAAATTGTTATCATTTAACATGAATTGCCGGTGTTTCCCCTGATAATTTTGTGGCCCCTGTGCAGCTCCCCTCACCTCATGTTTTCTAGAAACGCCACTGTCCCTATCAGAGATCTGCTGCATGTTTTTCGTACGAGACTAGCATCCTCAGCATCCTCTTGAATTTCATAAATAAAAAGTCCAAATTGATTTATAAAAGATCATATCATTTATTTATATGATGACAAAGTTCATGATTAAAAAAGATAAAATACAGTTAATTCTTAAAAGACAGATGATCTAAAAATCAATGCAGTGTGCAATAAGGAAAATTTTGCCAGGCAGCGGGATCTCTAACGTACACAGCCTGTTGATCTCATCCTGAAAGAATTAAATCACAACATATAACACGTAGAGTGTGACAGGCTCATCACAGCACGCCATTCAATAAAATAAGTCATTCTTTATCAAGTCACAGGGTGGGGTTGTTAGCCGACTCTGGTTACTGGGTGGGGTCGTTAGCTGACTCTAGGAAGCACTGGCCCCAGGATCAGTTTCTTACCTTGTAGATTATTCGAACCCACAGATGACAAACCAAATCACAACAATTTCTGCCAGAGAATACCATGCTACTTAATGAAGTCAAAATCCTCAACTTTTCAAGTGCAATTTCTAGACATTATAATGGTCGTAGAATGTTTATCCTCTAGTCAACACGCATGACAGTACACGCTAAACTTGCCAAGGCAGTTATTCAACTTGCAAAACGTTAAAAATGAAACATTTCTCCGTGTATTGGCTTTAAAAGCCAAAAATTCAGAAATTTCTGAAAAAATCAGCTCGATGTCGGCCATGTTTGTTTACATCCAACAGTCTCGAACTAAACGTCGTAATGGGCTATAGACGTTTGAGTCTGGTTAATCAAATATGTCGTGTTTCCGGTTTAGGTTTACGGAAATTACTTGAAGAGCCGAATGTATTTATGCGGCACCACTCGTCAATTTTCGTACATGGTCCCGCCCCTCTGTCTCGAACAATGAGCCATCATTAAAAAAAAAGTTGACATCATTTAATGGAGTTGTCCCCCTTAGACCGTAAATTACAGGGTGGGTGGTAGACTTGAATGTCCAAAAGGCTACAAAGTTGTTCTTGTACTTTAGTCTCGAATATCAAACAAAACAAATGCAGTAATAAAAACAACATGGCGGATTTTTTCCCGAAATTTAAATTTTACATCAGTTTAAAGAGGAGAGGACTGAATCAAACCACTGTCATGGCATTTTGAGAATTTGATTACATTTCTCCAGGCTTCTGTGAGGTTTACACACAGTTTTGAAGGCTTGACGTGTCTCTTTTCAGCCTAAACTCTGAAGTCAAAGTTGAGAGGCGATGGTAGTGTCAAAACATAAACAAACATGGCGGCTTTATTGTTTACATTCTTTAAAATGTAAAAATAAGTGAATTAAAGTCTATCCTTTATCAATTTTTTGTGTTGATTTGCTAGAGAATATGTTAGAGTGTGTGTCCATTGCTTCAGTGAGGGCTGTCAGTGCATTGGGAGGGCTATATATAAGAATTAACATGAGGAAGTCAAGACAAGTCAACTACAGTCCCAACAAGGTGAAGACGTTGATGAATGTAGGCCTACCTAATAAACATGAGTAGCTGCAAGGTCAAGTTTCAAGTGAAAGGAAGCCCGATATCCATCAACGGACCCCTCAAGTGAATTCGCCCTATTATCTTTCTTTGCTTCAGAGAGACACATTATTCCCCGAAACCCCCCACCACCTTTCCCTCCTGCCCCCCTTCTCCTCCCTCAGGCATTTCTAAGTACGCCCCTGTACGAATCAGTACCTAAATATGGTAAAATAGCTACATGCACATGAGCCTCAATTTTATGCCTTACTTTACTGCATCTGCTCTTGCTTTTCCCTGGGTAAATCAGGACGGGAAGAGTTGAAATATACCATTTTTATTTCACAGAAACAAGGACAAAAAGGAATATATTGATTCTATCACACAGTTAACAGCAGAAAATTGTACACACATATTGATGATGTCAGCAAGAATCGTACACACATATTGATGAGGTCAGCAAGATTGTACACGCTAAATAATGATGATATCGGCCTCTCATACAATTTAATACTACTTGAAGAAGTAGAGTCGTCTAATTCTAATAATTCTATTTCAGCTGTATGTATCACTTATAAGAATGCAAATTTGAAGTTCAGTTTGTCTACGATAAAATGAAAAACTGAAGTTGCAGTAGATAAATATAATCGTGATTTGTAAACCATCATCCCAAAGATCATATCATTTCATTTTCATTTGATTGTAGCAACTAGATTTCCATATTGACAAGTGATACAGGTTGCGAGATTGAGTTCTAGCAGCTGAGAGAGAAGAATTAGACATCTATATACCTTTATAATATTTAAATTACCGTAATACTGTAATGAGACAAATAAATCAAATACTGAGCAAGAGATCAGCAGTCAAAGTTATACTTATACGTCTGGGTATGTATTCTCAAAAACCATCTTAGCACTAGGATGTGCTTGGATGCCCTAGAAACAATGTAAGATCGTTTGAGAATACGCTACCAGATATCTTAATATTTATAATTATATATAACTCTTACATCAGTTCTAATAATTAATCTTAGATTAAAATTCATTCACTAAATAGATACTGTAATAAGCCATCTTATAGGAGATAAAGGGAGGCAGACAACTATAGTTTACTATCTGTACTGTATAAATAGAAACAGCAATAAGCCAACATAGAAGTTGTAAGTTTTTAACTTAATACTGAGCAAATTAATGATTATATAAACTAAATTTAAAGCTTTTATTTGACAGAGAACACCAAGATTAATTCTGTGTTTTTAAATCAGATCTCTTTACTTTCAAATATTCACGATATCAAGAATCATAATGTTACAGGCCTACTCTAGATTTTCAAATCATGCTTGATCAAATTAAAAACCCAGAACAAGGCCTGGCATTCTCTGAGAGCTAGAGGTTGGTTAAATACTGGGAGAAATCACCGGTTGAAATCAAATAATAATAATAATAATAATTGGAAAAAATAATAAAGTAGGTCACTGATAATCATGCACATCCAGATATTCAAAACATAACATGAGCAGGTACCTTTATAACATGATTAAAGTGGCCCTTACCTCATGGTTATCACCAGTTGGGTATTGAAGGTGCCCTCACGCCATAGTGATCATTGTGTATAGAATAAGAATAGCAATCATCACTTTGCGTTTGAAAAACATGACCACTGTCATTATTCACAACCATACACAACTGGTAATCACTTTGGTGTGAGAGCACCTTCAAAAACATGTACTACTATAACCAAGCAAATATATTTATATTTGTATAGAATTAAGCAAATATATTAAGGCACATCTAGGTCTGAATCAAACATTAATAGGAGCAGTCTATTTTATTTTGTAGGTATAATTTATAGTACTAAAACCAATGCATTCTAATCTTACAGTGTGTTGATCACTAGTTAAACTACCTACAAATTAAGTAGACTGTTCGTATTAATGTTTTAAATTAGATCTGAATGTGGAATACTAGCCCCCTTTCTGTTCTGGATGTGCATTCATACCTTTGACCTACTCTAGTTGGAATGATAAATACTGATTATAAGGATTAAAGCTTGACTCTTTTCTGATTGGGTAGATTTAAAATCAAATTCAGTGATCGACCAATCAGGGTGTGAAACAGTCCCTGAATTTCTGGTATTGGTGTTTTCAAAAGTTATGATGTTCATTCATACAAAAGTGTCAAAGCTTTGATAAAAGTGTTTGCTGATGATGCTAGACATCGAAAGCATTGGCTGGGTGAAGCTAACACAAATCATCGAAAGTATCTGTGATACCAAATTGATGCCACTAATCCTATGTCTAAATTAAGAATTTGGATAAATGGTAATTCCGTAAAAAAGGAAAGATCAAACAATATCAAATTTTTCCAAGTATTTAGAATGACTTTTGGGGACACCTAATAGCACCTACATCTGATATGTTTCAACTATGGAGCTATGTAAATTACAGAGTGAGACATACACATCTTTAGGCATTGTGAAAAGGTTTTCTAAACTTTCATGGTTCTTGCAATTCTACTAAAACAAAGCATTTAATGATGTCACTTTCATAAAGGCTCTTGGATATCATTAGCAGCTTTTGGGGTTATAAAATGCTTAGTTTAA